TGATAAACCGTTGATCACGATTTCGAATTGTAACGTATTTGAACCCGAATAAATACCGTCCGAAAAATCGAACCAGCAAATTTTCGAAGTATCGTTTCCATGTTGTTTTTAAGACGTGGTTAGAAACTCAACGGAAAACACATGGTAGCAAAAACCAGCTAAACCATTACCGTACCGTTCCAAATCGGCGACCGGTTTAAGGCGGATAGTCGACGGAAACCGTGGACAAGCACAACTTCTTCTATTGGCGCGCGACGATAAACACCTGTTGCTGACCGAACACATCGTTCGGCCGGGAAATGTGTTTGCGCGGCCGTCGTGTCACTCGAACAGACCTGGGCGAAATACCCGAACGGTAAACCGATTCGTAACAGATATCGGTTTGAAAATCACACGCGTTTTGTAGGCGCGTCGATGAATTCGGACGCGATTAGTGATTTTTGACATAACCATAATCGACTATTCTTCCGACCACGGGGATTTTGTGCACGCGGAGTAACTTACACCGAAGTTCTCGACAAGTTTACACGTGAAACGCAATCAGACAATTGATCGTTAATATTCCGATCGATCGACTTTAGTACGTGAGATGCGCATTGCACTAGCACAAAATTCAAACGTACGTACAGCATGCTGTGATCTATTTCAATGCATCTCGACCCGGATTACCATGGTAGTACAACCGGGGACCGTGAAATATTTATTTCATTTAAAACTCTTGAAACCGAATCTGATGAAAAAGAACTTACTGAATATTGGTAAAGACGATAGCAAGAGTATCCTGTAATTTCGAAAGCTGCTTTACTTATAAGTAATTTTTAATAATTTGTAGTATAATAATTTGTAGTGATTTGTATATATACAAATACCTTTTCCATCGACGTGTCTTTGTGAAACTGCATTTTCACAACTTCAAATTATAAAAAACAAACGTAGATCATGCATTTCACAACAGTCTCTAGAAGCAAATTCGCATATTTCAGTTTCAAACATCACACCTGACATAAATGTGTTATGCGAAAATATGCAAGCCCAACCGTCACATTAATACTCGTAATTATAATATTTTATTATTATTATTATTAACCTAGTCTTTGTTTGAAACTAAATCAACGTTATTACTGAATATTTTTTAATTGCTTTATAGTTATTACCAATTACTTTTTGTTTATATACGTTTTAAGTTTTGTAAAATTATAAGATTATATTTCACAAATATACTAAAAAACATTTAATTTCTTTACATTTTAATCATTTATTTATGTGAAATAGTGCTTGTAAATTTAGTATATCATTAACTATAAATAATTAATGATATTGATTGAGAGGGGCCTTGACAGTTTTACATTAAATTTAAGGAGCCCTATAATAAAAAAGGTTGAGAAGCAGTGATCTATTTAACTTGCGAATGCGTTACGATCGACGATCGACGCGGCACACAGTGGTCGGAAACGTAATCTAGCTTGTCTAAATGAAAATTTAAGATTATGTCATATACCATTTACGACATAAAATCATTATCGACTTTATATTTATTAGAGATAAAATGAAGCTTATGATAAATTTAGATATTTCTAACCTTTTTGAATTCCCAGATAAGCGTATAAAATATATAAATTTGAAGGTATAGTGTTATCATTGTGTTCTCTTTATTGTATCACGTGGTACTAAGTGCACACGTTTTAGATTTCATTTTTTTTTTCTTTTGATATACATTATGAATACTGCTGAACAAGGTAAGTACATTTTTAGAAGTTTTAAAAATGTTTTTATATTATTTTTTATTTTACAACTTTGAAAAATTCCGATTTTTCAATATTTTTTAAATTTAAAAGGGTAGTTTTAAAAATGTATTCGTTTTTACAATTTAACAATATATACAAATTATAGTTTATTTAATGAGCTACACAGATCAAAAAAAAAAAAAATTGCGTCTATTTGCATTTATACCTTAAATGTATTTCTTTCTAGGGACTAGTAATGGAGAGAGTAGCATAATAAATTTGAAATTTAGCCATCTATTTGAATTGTTGCGGAAAAAAAGGATTATCAAATCCTACTAATGTTGAGTTCAGGCTTTATTTATATGAGTTTATTAACAAGCAATGCAACGTAAAGGGACATAATACAGATAACGAAATAGAAATAAAAAATAAATTATTAAATTTCACTATAATTTTAAATAAATAGTGGAATAAATATTACAGAAATTATAGCAAATTTGTTCAAAAAGAAGACCAATGGCTTAAAACTGTTTTTAATTTTTCGTCTAAAATAAAAACTGATAATGTTTGATCGTCCTATTAATATTTAGTGAATGTTCTGAAAGAACGAAGAAAAAAAAAGCTACAGCCTTTATTAAAATCCTATAGAATATCTTAGAAAATTTCCCATAATTTGAATATATATTTTTTAATTAAATAAAAAAATAAGGTAATAAAATAGTTTGAAAAGGTGTAGAGAATTGGTAATGAGACATCTCTTGACAATCCCGGTTCTAGTATCTGGACAACAAAAATAAAAAAAAATAAATAAATAATAAAAGAACAAATTATTCAAAATTTTCCAAAAGTTAAATTCCATAAAGATGTTTTTTTATTTTCAAATTTACCTAACCTCTGTATACAGATTATTACAAAAAAAAAAAAAAAAAAACAGCATTTAAAAATATTGATTTTCTTCAGAGATATTAATTTAGGCAAGCTAGATTACGTTTCCGACCACTGTGCGGCACGACGAAACCGCATCGTAACGTTTCACGCGGGGGTCGGTTTTTCAACGGTAAAGCCGGCAGCGATATTTTACGTTTCTGAATTTTGAGCGTTTCACGTGATTTTACGGCTGCAATGTCCATTAGTTTTATACGCGTTTTCTGGGTCGCGTGTGTTCGTTTTATTTTTTCGTTTGCTTGTTCGATCGTCGACCAAAACGACGTCCCGAAAAGAGTAGCGGGCTGAAAGTGCTGCTTTATTTGATATGAAAGTAAATTTGGTTAAAAACCGTTTACGGGTTCACGAAATAAATAAGCATCTGAAGGGAAGTTCTATACGCTTTTCAGTAAATCAAAAAATCATCCAGTCAAGTTTTTTGAGTGCTGTCGCACGAGTGAAACTACTTTTTATATAATTCGGTCCTGTTACTGTGGTTTGGGTGTCTAGGATTCCAAATAGTTTCCTGTACGAAACGGCAGCTATTTGTTCGGACACAACCGACGCGGAAGACATTGCAACATCAAACTATTTTGTTCCTTCAGCGATTATCGCACGTGTAAATCTACACGCGCTCAGTGGGGCTACTACTACTACTACTACGTATACTTTTGTTAAAATCGCAAAAACGCAAATCGCTCTCATCGCACCTTAAATGATACAACCAACGTGACGTATAACAACTCTGCTACAATATATCGTCTGTTTAGGAACGGATTTTAAACGCGTCTAGAATATATTTCGTGAAGCATACGAATATCGTTGCTATGACTGCGATGACGAACGCACGACGCGCTATTGTTCTTGCGGTAGAGCGTGCGCAAACGCAGGACATTTTTACCAAGACGGGTCAGAAAACAAGATCTTGCTATTGGCCGACGCGGTGAAAGACATAAGCGTCAAAATGAGATAAGAAAAAAAAATTCGTATCGTACGAAGGCGCCAAAATCGTAGGTACCTGTGAGCCACGGTTAAATAACAGATATTAATTTGGGCTGAAAATCTGGATAATGAGGTTATACGAACTACAAATGCAGCTGAATCATTTCATCGACATTTAAAAGACCAATTTCATGTTGCTCGTTGTTCCGTTCATATAGTAATTGATGTATTATTAAAATTACAAAGCGAAACATAATTATTTATGAACTCTCCTCCTATTAATAAATTAAGGATATCTCACGAAAAAATAATTGTTCAATGGAAGAAATACGAGAATGGTGAAATAAATTGTACAGAATACGTGAAAAGAGTGGCATTAAAAAATCAACCAATTTATATATTATAATATTATAATTTACTATCGACATTTTTTTTTATAAAATAGAAATCGATTTATTAATTTATTATATTTATATTGATTTGCATGTATATATTAATAATATTAATGTAATATATAATATAATTTTTATAAGATATTGTAATTTTTAAATAACTATCTACTTATATAAAATATTAATTTTGACGCTTATGTTCTACAGATCTTGGCGCAAATGTTAGGTCATTTTTGTACCTTTGGAGCTTATGTCATACATCCGGCAGACGGACGTATCGTCAGGTGATCATCGTTTTAAATGTGTGCAGATGTGATTCCAAAAGTTTGTTTCCTTTGGTTTCGTGCTATTAAAATAACCAGTGCCGAGACCAATTGAATGCCGACTGCGTGATGTGTCAGAATGTTGTGCAAAGCTTTCGAAATAAAAATAATAATTTTTCTTTTTTTATTACTATATGGTACTAGAAAACGAAATTCTTAATGCAGTTATCCTTAATGTAGCCTCATTGAAGGTGTTTTGGGGGTTCAACGTAACGCGTGAGATTCACAGCTGCGACTAACGATAAATTTGCAAACGTCCAGAAAGCATGTATATTTGTTGTAAAAAAAAAAAGTAATAAACGCATCGACAGCTCACATGATGATGTGTACACATTTCATTCTCTTTTCGATTTCAATTTCAATTCTTGTGTTGCGTGCTGGTAATGATGTTGAAATAAATAACTCAAGACTTTAAAATATTAACTTTATTGAAATATTTCTAAGTCTAATTTATTTAATGTGTAAAATTATTCTAAGTCCAAATAATTAATTTATAAAACTGGCCTGAAGGTGCGTGCATTTACAAGACTAAAACATATCTGAATTAGGGCCTATTCGGGACCCCCTTTATACCCCGATTTCATGGGAATCTCTAATCATTTGGTCATCTTACCCGTGTGCATCACCGGATGTGGTTACTGATATGTGAATTCCATATATGGAGTTTTCTTTGATAGATAAGGATGTGGCCTATGTTTAATAATTCATACGTGTAACTACTGATTATTTGTCGCATATAATATGTATAAAATAATAATCATACGTGATTTATACTCATCATTAACTGGTCCATTCGGTTAGTCATTATATTAATATATTTACTATTGTCCACTCCTGTGTTTCTCATTCCTTGTTACTCATGTGTATCCAAGTATTGAAAATAAATGCATTGATTGTAACACCCTTATGTTATGGTTAAGAGTGCATTCTGATTATTATATTCCTAACTGTATACCACAGTGTGTAATTACTATACATGCCCGCCATAGTGGAATCATTGTGTTATTGTAACGCAATCGATACAGTATTTATATATGTTTTTAACATTATGTGATATAATGTATGCCCGTGACATTATAATATGTATGCACATGACACTTGTTCGAAATACTCTCATCGTCGACTGGTGTATAATATCACCATCAATTGTGTAATACACTAATGTTAATTTGGAACCGCTAAAAAAATCTCAAACTTAGAAATGTAAACGAGACGTTCATGATGTAAGTACATTAGAGTATTTCGCGCACGAATCGTATGTATCTTTTCGACTTCGACACTATGTGCGTTCAAGGATTTTATGATGTCATATTTTATTTATAATTATATCAGTCACACATTTTGCTAAGCCATTTGCTGTAGTCTGTCAAGGTAACCGTATTCATTTGTATTATTGTAATTTAGCTTCAAAGCCAGATGGATTTTAGTAACCGCAAAATAAAACGACAATGAAATCCACATAATTTTTATTCATTTATTATGCCGTCTGATCATACCTACATATTTTTCCTAGAAAATCCTCATTTTCCCAACAAAAAATACTTCTTGAAACGACCATTCTGAATTGATCTTGCGTCCAGAAGCCTGGTACTACGGTCTATGCACTGTTCAAATCGTTTGAATAGTTAGGTGATACTCGCGAAGATACTATGTATATAGTATTACTATATATTATATAAATATGTATATAATAACACTAACTATTCATTGCGAACCAAACGGATTCGAGTTAATATTTATATTAACGATATTATCACGATAAGTATTATGTCGTATTACGATTATGGAGTTCAGATTTGTATATCCTTGAAACATTGAACAGTATCTGCTAATAAAAAAAAAAAAAAAAAATGGAAATGTTTGACCTAAATAATATATTTAAATATTCTATACAAAATTGCTAAAAAAATTTGTATTTGTTTTGGATTTTTCATGTTTTATTATTTACAAGTCCTTTTATTATTTATGTGTAGTTAAAAATATGTATACATTATTTACTCAAAACCTTGACAACACTTCTACACTGTATTCAGTATACAGCACACGCGTGATATGTTCAGGTATTATATGTACGTTCTTAAATTATTTTATTTTTCTATCCAAGAACAATTTCTAATTCATAATACTGAAAGCTACTTACTTTAATATAACACGTGAATGCATACATCAATAAATTATTATTGTGATGTTAAAAATGTTCCTTTTTTCTTTTCGGATGAAAATAACTGTATACGTGTTCTATATATATAAGTTTAAAATAAAAAAATAATAAAAATATGTGTCAATAATGGCTCATTAACAAATTTAAAAAATTAAATAGAAACGCATTCGTGATCGAGGAATTAATTTATGCTATAAGAGCGGTATAAAATTTACATTTTTTTTTTCTTTTTATCGTTGATGTCCAAACCAGATAATATCAAATGAAAATCATATTTTAAATAAGAAAGCGAAACCCTAAAGATTTATGTGTTCGGTCAAGTTATTGTTTGTTGTTGTGAAACATTACAACAAAATGTTTTTATTATGTATACGACGAAAAGGGTGTGAAGTAATTTCCGTTGAAAACATTTTCATAACATCTTAACTGCATACCTATTGATAACAAACTATGATTTTTATAGATGAATTTGATCAATTGAACCAGATAGCGCTTGAGTTGTACAATTTCTCCCGTACTGCAAGCGAACATGTCACGCATTAAACGCGTGTACTAGTGCTTTGCGCGGTTCGTTATTTTAAAGACCAGATCGAACTATGAAATTTACCAGGGGACCGAAGTCGGACCGGACCACACTTAAAAGTTAATCAAAGACCAAAATTGGACCAAACCGACGGATTCATATTATTTTTAGACCGGACCGGACCAGTGATTAAATAACATTTAATAAAGTAAACTGTAGACCGGACTGCCGATCCGATCTTAAAACATTTTGGATCGTTTATGGACCGGTTCGTAAAGTTCAGTCTGTATTAGCCCAGACCGTACTATATGATGCGCTTAGTATTACACTGTATCGGACTTCCCGACTTTATAATTAAATATATAACTAAAGTTGTAGGTTTTTTTTCGTTTTATTTGTTTACATAACAATATCTGTATTTACATTTTAAGTACCATGATTGTGACCTGACTGGACTGATTTTCATTTCTTATTTTTTTGAAACCGGACCGGACTGAAAATAATGCATTTGATCTGAGAACTGGATCGAACTACTCCTAAAAATTATTGAACCGGACCAAACCGACGATTTAATAATTTTTATACGTTAAGACCGTACTAGACCGGACCATGCAGAGCACTAGCGTGTAACTATTACCTGTACTGTTAAAAGTAGTTCATCAGCTATTTGAACGTTATAACATTAATGCGCGTTACAGCTTTGCCGTATAACTAAGTTTGCGTACAGGTACACGTGTTTCGCGTAGGTACTGTATACTCTTGCAGGATCGTATTCAGTGCAGGGAAAAAGGGCATGGGCCAGGGGCGCAATTTTAAGAGGGGTGCATATTTCAACACTACTTATGTAATATTTTTCACGAAATATGAAAAAAATGTGGTAAAAACATATTCATTTGATAATATTGATAAATTTGCCTCTATAAAAGCAAAAAAAAGTACCATTGTAATATTGTATTAAAATAAATCCGACACGATTGTAAAACAAAAACATTTGAAGAAAATGACATGTTTTTATAAGGTATTGATTGTTTATATTTTAAAGTAATACAAATAGTTATTAAAGTTTATTGGTAATTATTACCTTGTATAGGTACTATGTTTGTATACATACTTTATATATCTCAAATGATTTTTTGTAAAAAAAATGCAAATTTCCCATTAGGGTGGATACAATGATATCGCAAATACAATGATTCACCAGGGATGTCACCAGACCTCAATACGGCCCTGACTCTTAGTATAAGAGTAGTATTCGTTTGTGCACAGCGTTGTTTCCATTCGAGCATTACGTAAGCAATTATATTACTGTTGCAATGCAGGGAATGCGAGTAACGCGTGGTCCATACGGTTAACAAGAAGAATACTCGATAATCCCGATTGTAATTATGGAAGTTCACGCGTTTGATTTTTAACTGTATAAAAATCATATTTTATTGCGTCATATTATAATATGATTGATTTCGTACAGAGCTTTGAACGTACATTATTTGGTTACTGTTCGTAATAGACTCTACGATAAATATCATATAGGATGTGATCGGGATTTGATTTGGGTAGCAATGATAGCGCTCACTTTTGTGGTATGCATTAGTAACACTCATTTTAAATAGTACTGTACGGTATGGCGGTGGCGCAACCAGGATTTTTTTTAAAGGGGGGGAGGGTCCAAAAATATAATTATTTTAAAGTAGCTAGCAAATTTAATTATTATTTTATTGTTTGATTAATGTAAATATTGTAATTATAATGTAAAATTGAATGATATTTAAATGTATTATGTAAAAAACAAAGGTAAAAGGTATGCACATAAAGTATAAATTGAAATCTAAGCAATGTTTTGTATAGCTTAAATGTTGTACAGTTGTAAACATGCTGAGTACTAACAACCACTTCGTAGTAGACATTGAGAGCAGCCAATCCATTGAGTCTTCTTTCTGATGTGAAATTTCTCAAATCAGTCTTCGAATCAATTATTCAACTTTGGCAATTTTTTTTTATTATTTTAGAAAGATACACGTGGTTTGAGGGGGGAGGTCCGGATCCGGAGACCCCCTGGTTACGCTATTGGTAAAATACACGTGCCCTGAAGGTTTGGCCGAAGATTTGGTTAATAATAATAAAATATATTTTTCAATATAGAGATTTCACAACTAAAAACGTGATAAAGCTGCAATAAGACCACTATAAACTATAGCTGTACCTATGCATTTCATGTGGTATGAACCCGATATTATGAACACCAACGATTACTCGATTTATGAATATTCAAACACATTTACTGACGGTCGAAAGGTAGAGTAATCACATAGTGCTTAATAAAATTAACTCGATGTACAAATATAACACTCAACATATCATCAGGTGATACATAATAATATTATTCTTACCGTAAGTAGCGCAATACTGTTGCGTATTGTCATATATACTCGTTTATGTAAACAATATAATGCGTCTTCGTGGATGAAACTACGATCATACTACGGGGTCACGTCTAATGCCAAAAATTAGAATATGCAGAAAAATCACATTCGATTTATGATGATGTTTACAACATGTTATATTATGTTATGTTATGTTATGTTATACATAAATCGACAACACAGAACGTTCCGATGACGTTTTGAGGAATCGATAGGTCTTTAAAAGCCACTGAAAAAGTTGAAATTTGTGTCGCTGTATTTATCCATGTACACTAGATTTTATCGTTAGCGAATAAAGAATAGGTCAATATTTTTATCAATAATTAATCATTTTAACTTGTATTGAACTTGTGAAGGAATAATATAAATCGAGTACATTGTTCAGACACATTTGCAAAAAAAAAATGTTTTCTTGAATTAAGACAAATGTCAAGATTTGGTACTCTAAAATTAATATTTTGCTTTTTCCTACATAGTGCATCTTATGACGACACATATGAATGATACACCACGTGTGTACAATTCCATACGCGAATGATTTCCGCCCATAACCGTTCACTGCGAAACCTGTGCAAAACAGACACTGAGTCGTGCAGAGAAACCTGTATCGGAGGAAAATTCTATTTATTCTTGTGATAAATTATGATTTCGTTGTACCAAATATTTCATATACTGCAGGATGGTTAGTAAACTTTGTGATTTATACCTCTCTAGGCAATACTAGAAGAAACGTTGTCCGAACAAATCAAGCCGAAAATGTTTTTAATTTTTCTTACACGATTACATTTATTATTTCAGTGTACGGTACTGCCATTATCGTACTGCGACGCAGACAGAAGCACGGAAACGAGACAAATACCGTGCCGTGTACAAATAATCCAAATTATAAACACATGAAATCTTACGCTTTGCACTTATGCAGCGGGCAGTGGAGTACCCATGTGTCTCTTGGGTACGGCGGCACGGGGATTCCGCTGTTGCGCCGGATGAACCTGAGACCAGAAACCGCGACGGAGCAATTTATATCGTTCCCGATCAGATTTCGTGTGGGACCGTTTTTCGTTCGTTAATTCGCGTTTACATTTTCCGATTTGTACCTGGTCGCGAACGTTGCGGGAAGTGTTTGCTAGTAGATTTTTTTTCAATTTTTCACGCGCGATTACGCATGATTTGTACGAAACCAAAAATTACATTGCAGTGCATATACATACGAGATACTCGTACGTGCGCGTGTGTTCCGAGCAAGTCTGTTCACAGCTGTACACATATAACCGTGCTTGAGGGGTCTGGAAACAAAAAAAAAAAATCGAAAAAATCTAATTAGCGGTTTCTCTCGTTTCAACGTCCTCGTCCCGGCGCGACAGACAGATGGCGTGTACACGTATAACGTTATATGTACACACGTACATCCGAAAGGGAACCACCACCGCGACGGTCGTTTCGATTTCTACCGTTAATGGATTTCTCCTTTGAAGTGTTCACCGCGATCAATACGAGCGTGCACACAAAACAATGTATGAACGCGGCGCGCGCGAGTGTGCGTTATCTAAACACGTGTCCCCCTCGTTGTCCCGTGCGTTCGACGCGTTTGTTTACGTGGGGCTTTTAATCCTGCGCGACCTTTTGTGTTGTTCCGGGGAAATTATCGCACGCGCGACACACGGCAGCGCTATTGTTTCGTACGCGCACCGGATGTGCAAAGCGCACGCAGTGGCGTGGCGAACTCGGTGATTTCCAGGGGCAAGTACGTTTTGTCGATACACCCGATGTCGGATCTAGGGGGCAGCAAGTAGGTACGCTAGGCGCAATTAGAGCGCTCTTAAGTTGACGAAAAATCAAAAAAATAATCACGAACACACATATCTTGGCGAGGACGCTGCATTTTTATTAGCCCCGGGCATCAAATTTCCTGGATCCAGAGGGTACTGTCGATACCCGACCGCCCCTACCCAAAAAACCGATATCAACCACATTGCCACGCCACTGTGCGTACACCCTCGCACGAGATAATACGTACGGATGTTAGAAACAACCGCTTGTCCGTTTGTTCAGCGCCCGTCAGCACCGGAACCAGTTTCGCGCGTTCCGTTTCGTTTCTTTTTTTACCGTCAACAATTTTTTCACCGTTATTACCGAACCGCGTTTGGGCGTCGACGAGGAGAAGCTCACAAGTTGTGCCGTTGGTGAGGGGACGCGGCAGCTGCAAACGTAATCGGCACGCGACGGCAGCTGGTGATCAGCTGTCCGCCGGAGAGTCCGTACGCGTACGCGCGCCCGCGCGCTCGGCATCTGCTCGACTGCGGTGCACGCGCGCACCCCGCCCGCCCGCCGAAGCTGCGGCCTAGGCTTTCCGGTTTTCGGCAACGGTGCGCCGCCCCTTCACCGTTCGATTCCGGACCGGTCCCCCTCTCGGTCCACCCCTCGTACCGCACCGCGCGCTTCGGGTGTTTTCGTTTTTTTCCCCCGTTCCGCCGAGCTTCATCGATTTCGTTATCACTGCGGTACGCGTTTAACAAAAAGACTCGTCCACCCGCCCCTTTGATTTTCGATTTTACGGCAGTCTTTTTTTTCTTCTTTTTTTTCCCCCCCACGTATTACGCACGACAAAAACCCACTCGCTTGCGATGCGCACGAAGCACAGCAGCAACAACCCTCCCGAAAGCTGCGCTCGACGGTGTTGAACGTGAGATTCGGCTCACGGCCCGAATTTCTGATGTGTACGCCGACGGTATAGGTAATGGGAAAAATTCGGATTCGCCGATATCCGGATTTCATTGTAAACTCGGATTCCGGATTCTGAAATCCGAAAATCCTAAACTAATGACAAAATAATAATAAATAAACTGACAACAATTAATAATAAATATCTTAATCACGTCATATATAATATATTTTATTAACTTTGTGTAATTATTTAAATTTTGATGACGAATTTTAAAATTAGGATAATATTATATGTATTTAAATAAAATATAATAAAATATGTAACTAAAATAAGTCAACTAGATTAGTTAGTATATAGTAAAATAGTTTAGGTTTTAAATAAAAAATGTAATTCTCTCATTAGAATTATATAACTCGAAATCGGGATTCTGAAGTCTAACGATCTAAAATTTGGATTTCAAAATCCAAAAATCCGGATTTACGGTTAATTAGGTTTTATTTCACATCGCTAATAGGTACTTAGCAACTGGAAAGAACGTAATGCTACGCGCACAGGTCGACATATTTTCGATTCGTCTATCTTGACGCTGGTTGTTAATAGATCGATCGCACGTAGAAAACGAATGTTTTCACACGTCTTTTCCGTCGATTGTACAATACTGTTTGTTGGAAAGTATATTTTGAACGATCCAGATATTTATTTATACATTAATTTATTATAAAACGTAATACACATACACATAACGATGTACGTGCAAGCGTACGCGTGTAAATATATGTAGCCAGTGACAGTTTCCAGGATTTTTTTTTGAGTGAGGTTTTGCGAAACGTTTTCCCCTGAGATATTTTTTATAACATCGCAGTCAGTGATTGATAATGAATTAAGATAATAGTAAGTAATGTAATACATTAATTTAAATCTAAGACTACTAATTTCTTGTATGAATATAAATACAAATTATATACTTTCCCTCATACTTAAAAAAAAAAAAAAATTTTTTTTCTTAATCCATAAAATTATTGATTTTTTATACATATTTTCCTAATTTTGAGAGGAGGTTTGACTTATAGTGTTGGCGTACATGCGACTCGATATCCGAACGCATTGCAACGAAGCTGACGACACGCATACGATAACAGTACTGAATAATTAATGCGATTACAATAAACGCGAACGCGTGCACTCCGTCCCGGTGAACCGTGTGCACGCCGTCGCGCGAACGAATTGGTTTTCCTTCCCTTGCCAACGTTTCGATACGGTCCATCGCCTTTGCGTACAAAGGGTTTCCCGCGTACGCCGTTTTTTCTTCTTTTTTTTTTACCAATTTATTCGTTCACTGTTAATTAATATGCAGTCGTGTCTACTACTATTCTTTGTTCATTTCCGTGAAACGTTCATTCGCATTTCGTTCGCGTTACACATTTTCTGCGCATTTTCGTGTAACTTCAAAAAAACGGAAAAAACGTTGTTTTTAATTCATTATTATTATTTTTACGGATTCTCGTATGCGTGTTTCGAAATTTACCACAACCAGGTCAGAACGCGTACGAACGCGCTAACATTTGATAAATCGTTAAGTGATTAAACGTATATGCTGGAAAATACTCCGATAAAATAATGCATTACTTTAATTTATGCAATGTTTTTCTTAAAGTTCTTCTAAACTTTTATTTATACTCAATACATGATGATGAATCATTTGTTTCTAATTGTTACGTGTATTATAAATATATTTATATCCGTTTGATTACGTAAAATGTGAATATTTTGAAAATATAAAATTATTTATTTCATCGGTCCCACAACGATATTTGTATTAGCACCTAAGACCCCTCTGTGACAAAATTATAAATATATATATATCGTTTTAATCATGAGTAAAAAGTTTAAATATACCATAGAATAATAAAAATTGAAAAAAAAAAAGCTTCTAGCATAATATTATACTAATGATAAAAATTAGGATTAAACGAGATATATGTATAACAGATTATAAAAAAGTAAAATTACTTAGCAACTTGGCTATAAATATAAAAAAAAATTGTTCCTCCACATTATTATTTTTAATTACTACTCATAATCTCGTTGGTCATCAAATACAGTTTTTTTTTTCTTTATATACACAAAATATAATTATCCACACAAATTATCTTCTTATCCTATATTTTCACCACCACAATTTATATTCTGCTCTTTTGCTGTGATCTCATATAATCACGATTTTAATTTACATTCAAGCTCAGTACCTGCTACGGCTACATTGTACAAACCGGGTTTGCACTACCTTTTTTTTTCATCGTCTACACCACCTTAAATTGACCTTTTTCCCTTTTTTCGACAATTTGTAGTTTTACGAGATCCACATTCTCCGTTCTCCGGGTACAATTTCATTCCGTTAACCCATACGTCCACTTAAACAGTCGTACCTCAGATAATTATCTCTCTTATTATCCGTCACTTAGCATAATGAATAAGCGAACATACCGGCAGGATCGTCCAAATCATAGATTTGGGAGCACTACCATATGTAAATTAGCTACTCGTGAAATAATAATACGGCCATATATGCTTCTGAGTTTCTGTTATGCAGCGTACGCGCGCGTTTGTTTTCGCACACCGTCAGGGGCCCGTACGTTATTTTTATTTCCAACCTAAAATATTATTATCGTCAATACGTGCTCAACAGCTGACCGTGTACTTTTTCCCCGTTGCGAGACTAGACGAACGGTAGACGCAAAGTGACGATCACATGTTAACCGTGAAACGGTGTTCTGTATGAAAAACATAACCTAAACCGAAACGGAGGAACACTTATTGCCCGAAAACGCTGCCGTTGGTGGTTTACCACGACGTTTTATTCGTTAACAGCGTTACGGTAACGGCGTCATGAAAAAAATCTAATCTCGCACGTGTATGAAATTATTTCCGAATACGTTTCCGAGTCCGTATCGTTTTCGCGTCGATAACGACGCGGTTTCCAATGAGCATTAAACATTACACATAATATTATATATTAAACTACATTGCATGACGCGTGTGCACAACCTTTTCTTGTCCGACAGTCAAAGAATTGATTGTGCAGGAGCCGTCGGGGAGTGATTATCGCGTTTCCGTCAGACGAAACCATGGTCGAATTCGGAAAACGAAAAACTCGTATCCGTAACCTATTGCACGCGGTCGTTAGCTATTCTTCTATGGACGAACCGAAGCAGTACGACAGCACTGTGTATTCATATTGTTTTTTTGTCTTTATCCTACTATAAAATATATCCGTACGTGTAACTATGACCTCAGAAATGTGTACCGGGTAACGCGTACGTATGACATGTGTGTAAACGATTATTATTATTATTGCATTGGAAACAAGAAATCAAACACATACGTGTGCACGACGGAACGAGCGAAGGACATTCGTTTCAAAGACCCGTTCGCGAGTCCAAACGCATTCATTTAATTTTTTTTTTCTTAACAAATAAACAGGTGTTTAAATGTTTTGTGAGGATAGTAGAACGGCAGCGTATACAAGAGAAAATATATAATCGCGCGCGCGTACAGTGCAAGATACGTATATTTATGTAAAACACAATCAGCGCAGCTGTATTTTGTGTGTGTGAAACGTTTTGGTGTTAAAATTTTTGAAATTTCCAAGACGTATGGTGATTTTGAAAGGAAAAATAAAACCTCATGCAATTAAATGTTTCTGCAATCATTGCGATCTCCGTCGGACACGCGTACATGCTGTAAACGTGGTTCAATGCACACCACCCCACGTGATTTATACATAATAATCGTACTATACAAAATTCTTTAGATTCGAAATGCATTGACTTTATAATAGTGCATCCCTTATTTCTCGCAATCCTGAAGTTCTTAAAGAAATATTTGCCGAATAACGCTATAATAGTATAATTTACCTAGAAATGTTAGACCCGTTTGTTATCTGTTATTGGGAAATTTCATTAAATTGCTAGTTTAAAAGAAGATTTTAAAAATTGAAGTTTTTTTCCATTTTTATCATATAAATCATTTTAAAATGTATTTTATGTCTTTATTATACATGTATTTATTTTTTTTTAATAAAATAAGTATTATACTTTAAATTTCATCGATAGATTATTTCTATGATATTTCAAATACATAAAAAATATTTTTCGATTAGGTCTCACAGTTTTTTTTTCTTTTTTATGATAACTTATCGTTTATATATATTGCAAGGAAAAATAGATAACTGCGAATTACATATATTTAATTAGCATGATATTTCGAGTGAAATGATGATTTATCATTACTTTTCATATTTACTCTAATATCATTTGAGTAGTTTATTTCTTAACCAATACAATGTTTAACGTATAAAAGTATTCCAACCTTATATGTCTGCATTATCTATTTATATATAATATAATCATCTTGTCCAAAAAATGAACACTTGGATTCAGGTCTTTTATTAGAAAATTGTTTGTATTATAAAATAATTTATACACAATGAAGGTGTTTTTCTTTTTTTTTTTTTGGATAAGGTTTAACATAAACAGACCAATACTCAACTTTATCACCTAAAAACAGTCATAAAATCTAAACACATCTAAACTTCAAAATGCTTATTTAAAGATATA